GTATAAATAAAACCAACATTTTAGCGTACTTGTACTTCTCTTTTTGCACACCTATTGTACAGTCACTTCTAATTAAATAGAATTTGTGACTTCTTTTGTCAATTACACAAGCTACTTAATATCGACAAAGGCGCCGATCAGGTAAATATGCAGTGACCTCTTAGTTAAAGGTAGGATGCATAGTTACGGTCCTTTGGGAGGTCGCAGCAAAAGATGTACTCTGGCACAAGCTGTAGAAACCAATATCGTCCCAATTGCTAGAGAACTACCGTAAAGGTGTGCAAGTCACTTTCATTGGAACAAAATCGCTAACATCGATAAGGGTCAAGAGAATGCAATGGGAAGCACTCTCTGGTGACGTAGCGTATAGCAGAACAGTGGACATGGCAACTGTGAGGCTGTGGAGACATATCGAAAAAGCGAAGTCAGCGGCAATTGACGCATCTGTGGAGTTGTGGTCACCTTCGCTGCACGCCGTTGCGCCCATTGCCAGCCATGTTAGCTCTCATTCACAGGCAGTGTTTCAATTACTACGTCTCGCCAACACACTGAGGTCTTACTCGACATCTTCGCATTCCTCTTTCACCGAATATTGTCATTCTTGACCAATTTTCGTGATCGAGTTCATTTTCTACCCTTTTTTACTTTACTTTTGCTTGTGCACTATTGCAGACACTTGCTGACTTACGCATAATATCTGTTGCCAGCTCTTTAGATATAGCTCCATTATGTCTCTTATTTCGTATTCTTTCGTGTTTACACATCAGTCCTTGTTAGTCCTAGCCTCTGGTGCACTTGAAAGTAAATATCTTAATATATCTTGGGTCTTTTCTTGTCGAAAGGCTTGCTGCGGACGGTCAGAGTAAAAGTGGCTCTAAATTGATCCATGGATAGCTGGTGGATGTTAATTCTTTTAACATTTGGCTAACCGATACTGTCTCATATTTTCTTGAATAAAGTGATCTCTATCGCAGCATGATACACATGGTCTTATCGCTTTCTATGAGGTGTACTCGGTAGCCGGAAGACAGCGTTTATCAATGGAGAAGGACAAATAGCAGGCTGTGGCCCAGATTGTGGATTTGGTGCAGCTGCAGTGTAGGCGATTGCCTCCACTGAAAAGGCTGCTACAGCACCATTGTCACCACCTGTGACAACTTACTCATTGCCCACTATGCTGCAACCCAATTCAGGGCTCAAGTACGAGTATTGACGATGTAGACAATGTCAGTGATAAATGCGATAAGTAGTACCGATTCGGAAGTCCACCAAGGATAAACCGTGTTTATTAATATCCTGACCTCTATGGCAGGCAAGGATAAGTTAATCGAGGAGCACGTATAATCTGTGGTATTCTCTGAATTCTAAGTAAGATAATTTTAATTCATATTTGAATCCACGTCACTCGTGAAAGGGAGAGAGGAGGTGTGCCTACTCTGCCACCTAGAGTAATGAGTTCGCCGATCACCTCTTCCACTTCAGACTTCTTTAACCTAAAACAAGTGGACAGATTCGACTGGGACATTATTGCTAGTAATATACATGGAGCAAATCGATTAGGGTTGCCGCCATACGAGTACACGCCTCCCTCTAGTCTCTACCCGGTGGTTCAATTGATTGGTCTTGCCAACTTGGCGAAGCGTCTAGACGGTGGTTCAGTTTGATTCGTTTTGGTAAGTCTCGAGCCTGATTTTTATTAGGCGACTGCTGTCTCATGCAGCTTCGCCCAATACACGAATTTTCAGCAGTTCATCGCGAACCCTCAGATTCTACACGTCCTTCCACAGAAACCTTTCCGAGACAGCACAAATGTCGAGTTAAGCCTGCATACCGAGGTGGAAGAATGCTGTACTACCTTGATCCAATTCGTCATCGACCAAGAAGAACAGACCCTTATCAGAAAGTTTGCCACTACTGCCAAAAAGAGAGTGAAGAAGACCAGGAATATGCGGGGAATCCTTAACTAAAAGGAGAACAAGGTTTTCGCTGCTCAAATCTAGCCGTGGCGCATTCATACCCGGTCGTAGGACCACCGGCCCAAAAGCGGCAAAAGGAGAGCTCCTGTCAATGTAACAGCCTCAAGACCATCTTATCGACAGAATAATAAAGCACTAAAGTGGCTAGTGGTCAGATGCTTGCTGACTGGTCCACCGACCCACTACCTTTGTCACAGGCATGTGACAACCCAACCACTTGCCTGGGTCCTGCAATGCATTCCTTGACATCAACTCGCAGATAACCCTTAAAAAACACAAGCACGCAGATCCCAAATTCCACAAACATATGTAGGATAAACTGAATATATTAGAATGCAGAGAAGCAAGCTAGGTGTGGAATCTTATGAATAATGCATACATATATACAATACCTAATAAAATTACATTCCTCCAATGCGCTCAGGTTTCTACTTCCTGATCGTATGTGCAAAGTTTCCCGACTTAACTTCTCAGTTACACGATACTGCTACCCACATCACCATGTGCTTGAATATCCAACTCTACTTTGCCCTTTTCCATTCTTCGTAGTGGGACATGAGCAAGACAGAAAAGGAGGTAC